TAATTTAAATGCATTCTTTCACAAAAACTTTAAGAGAAGACTGCCGAAGATCGGTGAATTAATCAAACTTCGCCACAGGAAAACAGCCTCTAACCAAAATTAAGGATTAGTAAGAGAAACTACCTCTGTGTTAGATGAATTTCTATTTACTCATATTACGGCTAAAATATTAAAAGATTTGTAATATAATTGTGATATTTGTAATCAGGAAAATTATCTGTAGGTCTCTATTTTCAAAAAAGGCAAGAATAAATAATTCACTTTATATGTTATTAGATTTGCATTATTAGTGCATAAGGTGCAGATACTTTTATAGATAATAATTTAGAATACCTTCCTCATCTCCGATTTTGATAAAATTGGGTTTAATCGACGTGGTGTCACTCAAAATAAAAGAATTTGGCAGAAAAACACGGCAGTCTGTCTCACGAATCAAGATATTAAGCGTTAAAGTTAGTCAATTTCAAGGTTACGAAATTTGTCATACCGATGTAACGCAGCGAACTAAGTATGCGCAGTGATCACGTTGTATGCTCGGCGTATACATACGTGTAAGGGAAAACTTTTCCCTCCTCCTGCCCCTCCGCCGCGACACCAGATTCTTTTATTTTGAGTGGAACGCGTCAATTGAACCTAATTTTATCAAAATTGGAAGTAAAGGAGGTATTCTAAATAATTATCCTTTTATTTATTGTAAATTTTAAAGAACCGGCAAAACTGGCTTTGTAGTAACCTTTATAATTTTATAATATGCAGAAAAAGGCAAAATATCTCATGGCAAATATCTCATGGCAAAATATTACTTCAATGAGATGAAATATGGTTGAACTAAAACAAGTATTTGCATTATAAGTAAGAAATAGATAATTATTTAAATATTATAATTATTTAAGAGCTGAATTGCAAAATCTATCATTATAGCAAGTTTCATGGCTTTATAATAAACACAAAAAGAAATTTGTTTTGTGTGCGTGCGTGCGTGCGTGCGTGCGTGCGTGCGTGCGTGCGTGCGTGCGTGCGTGCGTGCGTGCGTGCGTGCGTGCGTGCGTGCGTGCGTGCGTGCGTGCGTGCGTGCGTGCGTGCGTGCGTGCGTGCGTG